TATATATATATACTGTATATATATATATATATCCCCTAATTTACTGAGGTCGCAAGGACTGAAACAACACTGATAATACAATAAGATACATTATAAAAAAAAATATTAATTAATTAATGATGAAATGATCATGAAATGGTAATCTCACAATTTTCAAAAAACTAATTTGTTATAAGCGCATCTGTAGATTTCCAAATCAAAAATAACCTTTATCCTGATCTTTATATGGATCAAAGATAATCTTAATAGTCTATGTTGTGAAAGCAGAAGATTGGTTTTGAAAACTGGAAAAGGAAACCAAATCATAGATCATTTTATAGTAGGAAACGTCTGGTTTGGGATTCTCATGAAAAGAAAAGACTCTCATTCCTTAGCTCTGCTGGGTTGATCAATACACAGATTATTAACAGATAATCAGAAACCAAAAAGGATAAAGACAATTACACTCTGAAGACTTTTTAATCCCAAAGGTTCTCTGGGAAATTACACAATTTAACCTAAAATAATAAAACACTCAAGATTAATGCTTTAAGATTTATGCTTTTAAGCCTAAACATAACTATATTTAGAGTATTGTGCTTAAAACAAGAATAAAAAAAACTCAAGATATATTTCCAGAAAACGAGTTACCTTCAAGCAAATTTACCATGTTGCATTTATTTATTGTGCAATGCAGTGCAGTGCATGCGCAAATCAAGACCACCAAGATTCGTCATAGAGAAAACACCGTTTTCACTGTAGGAACAAGGTGTGAGGTAAAACCTTTGTTTTTTTCTGCCCTTTTCAGTGTTCATTCACCTACATGCACGCGTGTAGGCCTACTTCACCGCAGCTAAATATAGCACACCTACCATATGCCACGCAACCTCTAAATGAAAGCGTAAACTTAAAATCAACATAAAACAACATAACTAACTTTTACAAACTGAACACAGTTTAAAGTCAATTTCTGACAGGACGTGTTCTGTGTGACCACATCTCTTTCCCCCAACGCCCCTCACCCTCTTTTACGCTTAGGGAAATCCCTTTCTTTACAGTTTCCTGGCAGTTGCGAGAAACGTAGTGCGACATACAGTACATACGTCTGTTTTTACGCTACAAAGCTCCATTAGTGGGTTACGGGTAGATGGTCAGGTTCACCCCAAACGAGTAGTTTTATATACAAGACGTGCTGTATGAAGATCTACAGCGGTTTTTAAGATGTTCACCTGTTCCTGGAAGTGCTCCATTCATTAAAAGATGGATTTTCAATTCTTCATTGAAAGATGGATTTGGAGGTCACCATGCTTTTGTCACAAACAGTAAGCAATTATAATATGCAATGTTTCTTTCATTTTTAGATGCTTTGTGATATTTTAAAATAACTAATACTTTTAAAGTGAAGTGTGTAATGTTAAATCACTTCTTACGCAACCAATGATATGAGGTTGAGGCGAAACAATCTGTTTGGCAGACCAATGGTAGACGGAAGGAGCGCTCAGGAAACTTGCTTGAAAACAGTCATTAATTTTAAAATTTTACTTCACCTTTAAAGTTTGCATCATGCCAAGCAGTGTTAATTTTTTTCACCTACGACAACTAGATGATAACGAACTAAAACTCTTTTTGAATGACAAAAACTATGACGTAAATCTATTGACATTTTCATCAGGGAATAAAAACGAGACGAAAATGTTAGGGAGGGACGATTTGGGAAGAGAATCATTCAGAACGAATCTGCTGCGTGGTTCGGAAGTTAGATGCGTACATATGAACCGGTGGGACATAAGCTAACATACACTTGCTGCACGTCGCATAAAACGTTCAAAAATGTCAATATGTGGGAGTAAGAGAAGAGCAGACATATGGATAAATCTGACGACGCAAGAGAGAGCTCAATTCGGTCCGGTTTTCTGAGCGCAGACACTGAAGCATACACACACAGAGAGCGCGTCTCGCAGCACGCGAGTACTCTTTCGCGTCGCATGAACGGAGAATTATACAAAATGATGTCGAATTGTCCGTTTTGATGAGTATTCACGTAAACACAGTTGATTACGTCTTAAGTGAACGTAAACAGTAGGGAGAATATGTATCAGTACATTGCATCCATTGCAGCTGTGCATTCGGTTTTAAAGGGACAGCAGCCTAATTTAGTTGCTATTGTCCGAGTCATTGACGTTAATCAAGCAACAAAAGAAAGAGAAAACCACGCACTGCTCTTGACTGAAAAACTTTAGTAGCACTACAATCTTATGATATTTAGTCGACTAAAACTAGACTAAAACTAAATACAATTCAGATGACTAAAACTAAATGGCATTTTAGTCAAAAGTATATGACTAAAACTAAATAATTTTAGTTTTTAACACTGATGCAAAGGCTTTCAGTGACAAAATGTTTATAAATAAGAGGAAAAAATGTAGGCATACTATGTGATTTTGTTAGCATAAACGTGTGAGAGGAAAAAGGAAGTACGTTTTGTGCTTAAAACCAATGAGAATTCTCAGATGCATGTCTGTGGTGTGTTTTTTTAGACCTACGTGTTTGTGTTTGCTTTTATAACAGCATGATGTCTTGTGTCACATTTGTTCTTAAAGTAATAGTTCACCTAAAAATAAAACACTGACAACACACCCTCATGTGATGTTTCAATACTGTATCACTTTTTCCCTTCTGTGGAACACAAAATAAGCTATTTTGAAGAACAGTTCAGTGTTTTTGAAAAGTTAGTAAGGTTAACATTCTTCAGACGTTGCCCAAATGACATGAGGTTGAGTAAATGATTACAGCATTTTCATTTTTGGGTGAACTGTGCCTTTAAATCGAGTGGTTCTAACCATCAGAACTGGTTTCTAAATATTCAGATATCTTGAAAGTAACCAGAAAAATCACCTGCTGTAAAAAGCGCCGGGCCTCTGATCTCGGATCTCAGCTACAATGTTCTCCACATGGATTCTGCATATGGTTGGATTTGCTCTGCTGGTCAGGGGGGGCATCAGTGATGACAAGTGTCCTCATCATGACGTCAAGCCTGGGAAAGGTGAGAGAGAAAGATAACACTCTCAGATATTATTGCATTCAATTCTTTTTTATACAACCTGTTTAGTTCAGGCCTGTGTCCACCAGATAGACCCTTATCAGTGTTTTCTCTAATCTTCTTCGGGCCTCCGTTCTGGCTCATACATTATCCCAGCCAAAATAAATCCTTATCTTAGACCGAACTAAACGTCAATAGAGATTTTCCTTTGCAGACACTTGTAATTCAGGACGTGGCTTTGATTGGTCAGTATAAAGCAGGTCTGAAGATCTGATTTTAGAAGTTCACTTCTAACTAATCTTGAGAGCTTTGCAGAATCTAATAATAATAATGAAAAAAATCCCTTTAAGTTTACCTTATCACCCAGAGCTTTGTCAGTCTAGTAAGTCGCTGGAAGTTCCTGCCTGTGGCCACACATCTGGGAGGAAAAATAGACTTAAAAGACCGCTTTGAAGAAAAAAATACTGACCTTTGAACTCTTGTTTCAGAATCTGCAGTGCTGGATTCCTTGCAGTGCCACAATGACTACATGAGCTATGCACAGTGCACATGGGAGGTCGATCCACAATTTCATCCACAAGAAAACACGCATGAATTGTACTACTGGGACGCACATATAGAGTAGGTGAAAAAAGAAACAACAAACAAACACACAATGAAAGAAATTCTACAATGGGGAAAATAACTTTTTTCCTCCCTCTCCCTCTCTGTAGCGAAGATACACTTTGCGTCTCGAATGCATCTGGTGTGCTTTTATCCAATGGGAAGATCTCTCACGTGTGCCGCTATAACTCTGAGAGGTTTAACTTACATACAAGTCACATTCTATACTTCAAAATGCCCTGTGTGCACAGAGCCACAACTCTCAGAGTTGCTCAGCATGGTGAGTGTGTGTTTTGTGCATTTACCTTCTAAAGCATCTCTGGCATGGAAAAGTCTTTCACCGTTTTGTGTGTGTGTGTGTGTGTGTGTGTGTGTGTGTGTAATTTCAGGAAAAGTTAAGGCCCCAATTGATTTGACAGAGAGGGTGGCTGATGGCGGAGGTCGTCTGCTGTCCTGGAGAAGCCCATATCCTGTATCCTCAAATATCACAGGAACTCTTGTGTACCAGCTTCAGTATCGCAGATACATGCATGACTGGACTGTGAGTACACTGTCAGAAAAAAAATAAAAAATAATAATCGTGCTTCATCTACCCCAAATGCATATTAGTAATTTGATATATTCTTAAAATATGCACCCTTAGGTTTAGATATTTTAACAACCTTTAATTCAGTTGAATGTTTTACTAAAGTTGTGCTGATTAATATATAAAATATATATTTTATAAATATTATTCATATTTAAAAAGTAAAACTATACATACACACACCCACACAAGCACAGTCTTATTCATCAAAGAATCCTGAAAAATGTATCATGATTTCCATATAAATATTCCACCAAATCAGCATATTAGAATGATTTCAGTCATTTATTCAATCAAAAAAAGAAAAAAACATTCAAAATCTTGCCGACTCTAAACAAACTTTTGAACGACAGTGTATCCTATTGTATATATTTATATTTTTAATGAAACGATTGTTTTAAATGAGTAAAATGCCAGTATAGACTCCAAGACTCCTGAATGGCATTAAAGTTCTGACACACTCAAATATTATCTAATAGGATATCTTGTGGATATCCTGTCTAGAACAATGTCTGTGCTGAAGCAGCTCTCTGTAATATCAAACACCACAATCTGCCATTGTAATGACACATCATCACAACCTCAGACTTCACGCGATTCCCACCTAAGATAAAGCCTCCACATGAAAGAGTGATGCTAGCGTTCTGAAACTGGAGACAGATCCACTGTCAAGATTTGGATATTTACATAGGTAAATGCTGAGCGTGTTATGTATTTATATAGGTGACAGGTTGGCACTTGGCAGAGCATCGTTTGTTTACCGATTAATGCTGCTTGCACGTGCATGCTCCGTGTGTTACTGATATCCATCTTATTATTTTGTGATATTTTCTGATACTTAGGATTCATTATGATACTAAATTACGGTAATAAATTACACGAATAGGAAAACAATTACTAGTTTGCAGTGTCAAGGAGAATAAGACTGTTTCTGTAAACTGAAATATCGATGACACTGGAAGCGTCGCACATATTCAAGAAAAGTGTCTACCTTCTTGTAATATTTATGCACATAAATCATCTTCCGGTGTGATGAATTGACTAAAAGTAACATTGATAGCATGTCTGCGAGTGTGAAATTATAAACAAGGTATTAATATTGAGTAGTAACTTACACTTTTGAGGAAATATTGACAATATTCATGAATCGACCACACTTGCAACACACAGCAGCGTTTACGTCCTGAGTCAATCAGTGTTTGAACGAATCAGTTGAGTGAATGATTCAATGACTCGCTCACATAGACAGTCAACAGATTTTTTGTTCGTGAATGAATCCGTTTTAAATGAATGAGTTAATGACTCTCATGAACAAGGGCTGCATCCGAAACGCATACTTCCTTACTATACAGTACGCGAAAAACTTTTCGTAAAGTGTGTCTGAATTCACAGTATTCATAAAAGAATAAGTACCCAGATAAAAAAAAAAGAACAAAAAATGTTTGCAACTGTTTTTGTATCACTTGATAAGAAGCATCACAATTAAATTGTGTCGTTCATAGGGTCTATTGAACAGAAACAGAAAAGTTTATTTTAAAGTGCAAAGTAACACTGTATGCGAAAATAAACACAGAATGTGTCAATAAAGCTCTGTGAAAACTTGCATTTTTACATTATGTTGTAAGTGTTTCCCATCGGATAATCAATAGTTATACACAGGCTTGCAGTCTTCACACCCACTTGAACACTTGGGCCAAATACAGGAAATACGTCATGTAAGTAGACAAGTGGTCAAGTGCAAAGATCGAAACTGTGGGTGTTGGGACAGGCCAGACTGCATTCCATTTAGTTTTTTTAAGGCCCTTCCCTAGCTAGCTTTCCTCCGACTCAGATGTATATCAGTGATTATGTTGCATGGGTGCCATGCAACCTTTTCAATGGGCCAGAGTGGACCATCCTGAGCCCTTGATTACTTGGAATCAGCTATGGAGTTGATTTATTTACTTTTTTTTTTTTTTTGATTGATTGAGTTTTTTATATGTATATAGGCGTACTGGGGCTGTTTTAAATTAAAAAAAAATTGTGTATTATAGAGCTGTTTGAGGTGGGAGTAAATCCAATGCAATCTGTGGTGACATCAAAATTGTGTTGTGCTATATGGAGCTGTCTGAAGTGTACATATGAAGTAGACTCGCTCCCTCGGTCGAATCTGTCCATATAAACTTCACTCCTTAACCAAGTGGAACACACTTTAAAATGGCAGTGGGGATTCCCCTAAGGGGAAGTGCGTAGGGAAGTTTGCGAGTGTGTGTCTAAAAGCAAAGTAGAACGCAGCCCGGATTACATTCATACTACATACATTCCTAGAGCATATATTTCTTCACAGTCGCTACGTAATTACTTAGTCAAGAGAAGTACTCAGAGAGTACATAATTTCGGCCACACTTCTTTTGTTTGTGAATGAATCTGTTTTCTCATTCTCTTTTACTGGAACAGATTGTGGATAACACCAGTGCTTCTGAGTATATGATTGACAAGGAGTCACTGTTGTCTGGTTACCATTATCAAGCCAGAGTGAGGGCGCGAGGTCCAGTGGGACTCTGGAGTGACTGGAGCCCCCTGGTGTCCTGGAAGACTCACAATGGTATTAATTTTCCTTATATTTTGCTAATAGTCTAAAACAGAAAAAAATGTCCTTTTTACACTGCAAATACCTGAAGTTCATGACCTCTCGCAGATGGAGTCTTTAACCTGCAGTGCGTGATAGCGGGAGAAACAACTGTGACGTGTACCTGGCAAATGAAGACAGAACATTATCAGTTTATGTCTTATCATCTCTGGTGCAGTAATAGTGATAAGTAAGTTCTCCATCCATCACAAACTCACGTGACTAACAACTGATCTAAAGCGTGATGTCACATCCTGTACACTGACAACTCTCTCTCCCTCAGTCTCTCCGTTTGTTGTGAAAATCCTCAGCTGAAGTCGAGAGACGTTGAGCTTTCTGAGTTCATGTGTTCGGTAAAAACCCCTGACCCTTACCTGTTAACAGTGGAGCTGAGACAAGTGTACCACGCTAGGACGTTCCCTACTTCAAAGCACAGTGAGTTTTTTTTTTATGTTATTTTTAGCAGAGTCTTGCATGCCAGTGCTGCCATCTGGAGTTTAGGAAGAGCACTAATGTTCGTTCTTCTTCTCTTCAAGTTAAACTTTCACAACCTGACCAAATCCATGTGAGGGAAGGCGATGGTGTTTTCATACTGAACTGGTCTAAACCAGTTGTTTCCATAGATATTCAGTTCTCCATCCAGCTAAAAATCTCGACCAACAAGGTGCGTTAGTTATCTTTCAGCATCTGTGTTGCATTTACTAAATGATTCATTGCAGCTGTGACTGATCACATGCATGATTTCACTTTCTCTTTGTAGACCTCAGAAATTTGTACACTTTCTGAAGGGGAGAGCAATTTTGACCTTTACTTTACGAATCTATATCCTTCAACTGAATACCAGGCCCAGATCAGATTACTACCTAAACCTGACGATACTTATGTCATTGAGCCATCAGAATGGTCGCAACCAGCAGTGTTCAAAATTAAGCCAGGTAACGCCTTGATTTCAGATGTGTGCTTCTGATCATATCCTATTAAAATGGTGTTTTAAATAATTCATTGCTCATTTTGTCCTTGTAATTTAAAGTAGAAATTAATTACTAAATCATTACTTAATTCAGTTAGAATTAAGAAAAGAAAAGAAAAGAAAATGATTAATTTTGATATATAAGTTGTATTTGGGTAGACTGAGTTCCATTAGTTAACATCTGTTAATGCATTAACTAACATTAATGAGCAATACATTTGAGTTACACTTTATTTTAAGGTGTCCTTGTTACAGTGTAATTATACATTTAAGTACTGAGTAATATTAATTAACTACATGTACAGTACTTACTATATGGTTAGGTTTGGGATTAGGGTTTGGCTTGGGGTTACTTGCATGTAATTATGCAAGTAACCCCAAGTTCTTGTTATTATAATAGTAAGTACGTGTAACGTGTACCAAGGACACTTTGAAATAAAGTGTTACCTACATTTGTTACATCTTTCTTAACGTTAGTTAATAAAAATACAATTATTTCTTGTTATTTTATGTTAGCTCAAGGCCATTAAATAATATTAACAGATACCACTTTTGATTTTAATAATGTATTATTAACGTTTTTAGCAAATTAACATTAACTTATATTAATAGATTTATTAGAAGTATTTTTCATTGTTAGTTCATGGTAAATGCAGTTCACTAATGTTAACAAATGGAATATTGTAAAGTAATAATTCATTCATTCATTCATTCATTCATTCATTCATTCATACACAATACTTACCGAGTGTGCTAACAGTATTTCAGTACTAAATATAAAATGCTATAAATATAAAATGAAAAAAATGTCCTACTGTGTCCTGTGATTGCATGCCCTTCTGTCTTTTTGCATTAAAGTAATCAACTTCATGTGTATATAATTCATCACAAGCTTCTTTTAAAATAGCAAATCTGGATCTGGAAATATCTTTGTAAAATTATTTATGCTTAGGGCAAAGGTAGTTGATACCCACAGAACAGAACTCGATACCTGATGCATAAGAAAAACTCTTTGTGTGTGTGTGTGTGTGTGTGTGTGTGTTTGTAGTTTCATCATCCATCAGCCCTGTAATCTACATTTTGACTACTGTGTTTGTGGGCGTGCTTTTTTTCGTCACCTTGTACAACGGGCTACCAGTCTTACACAGGTGAAACCCACTATACATTTACATTCATGCATTTATGCATCCATCCAAAATGGCATACACTGAAATCAAAATATACATTTAATCAATTTATACATTCTCTTGAAATCAATCTCATCTCATTACACTGGTATTGGTACAGGAACATTCGCTCATGTTTAGCGGTGTTTGTTTATTCATGTGTGTAATTCTATAATAGAAGGATCAAGATTTGGAAAGGATCGATTCCATCACCCATAAAGAGCAAAGTGCTGGAGGGGATGGTAACGGTGAGTCTTTACTAACTGATCTCAGAACAGTAAATGTTTAAGGTGAATCTGCAGCTTGATGTACAATATTGATATAGTGTTTTCAGTTTGTTTTTATTTCAATACCTTTGTCAAAAGGCATTCCATTTCACTGTTTCTGGTACACAAAAGCTAAAATGATGGCAAATATGCCTTTTTGGTCTAAGTACAGTCTAAGTATTATAACTAGTAATCCACTCTTCCAAATTACACCTAGTTATATGTATTACATAATTGTTTTTTCTATCTTTCTTTCTTTCATAAGACTCCCGGTGGATGGCCAAATCTCCAGAGTGAGAAAGAGACAACCTCCATCTGTGTACTACTGGCTGCAGACAATGTCAGTCTCTGCAAAAGCAGGTAAGCAGCTCTGAATCAAATTACAACATTTTCCAATAAAAATATGAAGTGTCTTCATAAATGTCAATATTTCAGATTAGCTTTTATTTTTATATTTTCAATTTTCATTTTAGTTTAAGTTTTAGACATCTTTGTGTGATTTATGTGGTTTGAATTTTTATTCTAATTATTTACGTTGAACTATTTTATTTCAGCTTTAGTTTTAGTCATCTCAGTACTTCGACTTAATGTGTCAAATATTTGTATATTTTATTTCATTATTCTTATTTAGATTTTATTTATATTTCAGCACTATTACTGAAAAACATTGTTAGTTTTAGTTTTGCTTTTAGTTTTAGTTTTAGTTAATAATAGCAACACTTCTCTAAAAAGGAAATGAAACCTGTCACCTAATGCCTCTTTTCTTTTCAAACCCTCAAACTTATTGTAAGTCACATTATGGAAGTGGGTTCAGTTTCATGCGTGTGTATCTTAAATCTCCATGTCTGACAATATTTTTCTTTTACACTTAACTTTGTTACAGTGAAGATGCTGTTAAAATGGCAAGGTCAGGTGGATCAAACCACTTGCACGCCTATGTGGGGGAAGGCATGTGCAAAGACAAATCAGGCATGAACTTCAGCGGGCCTTATATTCTGTGCTGCGAGGAATCCTGCACCCAGGACAAATTACCTGACGGCTCTATGGACAGACATCACACGTGCGTGTCGGGAAAGTCTGAGAGTTTTGCTCCAGAAAATGGAGGCTACGTTGTAACTCCTCCCACCGCCATGCCAGCAACTCAAAACACCGACCCCGTCGACAGCTCGACCGATAACCCTTCAGATGAACCCCCTGCATACACCCCCAGCCCAGATCAGGGTTGTATGGTCCTCCCTCATCCATCCGGCTACTTCACGATGCCAAGTGTCGTCACAGGTTAGTCAGAGCCAAGAGGATACGTGATGATCACACATTCTGGAAAATAACGATCAAAGACTCAATAGATTAGTTTAAAAAAATAAAGGGCCTACAGAGAAGGAGCCAGAGATGGATGTCCAGGGCTAAGCACAATGAATGGAGCACAGTCAATGTAGTTCAAATCTTTTGCTTTACATAAACTGTCACTTTATAAGCAATGTCTAGCGACGGATGAATGTTTCGCATGCTCTTAATAGAAGGGGGTGAAAGACACATTGGAGCTTCAGTCAGACTTATCGAGTTGAAGCTGTTGTGCTGTGACAGTCTCACCAACAGATGGCAGTGTTGCTTTAAATGATTGTAAGAATTGTTCTTCTTTCCTCAGTGCAAACCGTGGAAAGCAAACAACGCATTAGGTCGAAAATGAATGTTTTTCCACAGTGCCTCACATACTTGCTGCATTGAATGTCCTTTCTTCTTCACAGTTTTTGCACTTAATTCAGCTTGACAGACATTGGCAGCCTCATTCACTAACTGTGTACGCAGGTATTCGTGCGCGAAATCTGCTTAGGAACGTTTTCACGCAGAAATCACATTCCATCAGTGAGTTTCAAAAACCGACTGAATCCACAAACACGCAAAACAAATAAATAATGTGATAATAAATGACATATGTTGAGTAATTTGTTAAGGCAATTTTAAACTGTATTAGAAAACTAGACTACAAAAACGAGTCTACAAACATTTGAAATATTTTTGGAATGAACAAATTAAATTAAACTTGCTTTACTCAGAGGTCGTGCGTACTATAGGCTAATATAAAAATAGTTTGCTGTGTTTAAACTGATTTTGAGAATGGTATTGTTTGATTCACACTAATATCATACTGCGCATGCTCTCAGTCTCAAGTGGGAGTCCACAAGAATATGGTTGAATTTGGAAAATGCCTATTTTGAGGGGAAGCAGAAACACGCTGTTTTTCGGGCCTGTCTCTTTAAATGCAAATGAGCTGCTGCTCCCCACCCCCTTTTCCAGAATAGAGCTGGGCCATTACAGCTCGTACCTGCTAAAAAACATCTGTTTTGGTTCTGATTATCATGTTTATTGAGCTGAAATCATGTGTTTTAAACCATATGAGTTTAAACTTCTGATATACGGTTTTCTATGTGCACATCCGAAGCACACAGACAGAAAGCGGCTGTCACAGCATGTGAGTACTAAACGAAGTTCTCATTCACACACAAGTTTACGTTAAAAACACACACGAGTTACAAAAAACAGTCGGTTATGTCTGTGAAGGTAAACAGCCGGGAAATAAATTGCATGTTTATTTTAGATCTGTGTGGCAGCAGCAATATACAGTAAATAAATAAATAAATCCACTGCTCTGTTGTCTCCTCTGAGGCTGGGACTGTAAATAGTGTTCTGTGCTCGTCTGTGCAGCCAAAGACAGAACAGTTAGCATGTTTTGCTCAAACTTTCACCATGGCATTAGAACTAGTACTCCGTTGTCGCTTGCGAAAACACAATAATGGTGCCATGGGTGTAAATTTACAGATTAAGGGACGGTAATATTATAATGAGATCCCTTTGCCACGTCACCAAGGGAGCAAAATCAGACGCGCTCGTTTTCTCAGATGCTTGCAGAAAAAGGCTTCACAAAACAAAGTTACTGGTTTAATCTTTTTCACGTTTTCCCTAGATGCACTGGGGACCTGATTATAGCACTTAAAACCTGGAAAAGTCCGATTTTCATGATATGTCACCTTTAAAACTATTTATGTGCTGAGGCAAAAAAAAAGTTTCAGGTTGGTCATGATTACTTGGTTACTTATACACTATCAGAAAAAAAGGTACAAAAGCTGTCACTGGGGCGGTACCTTTTCAAAAGGCACACCTTTGTACCTAAACAGTCCATGTTAGTACCTTAAAGGTACATATTAGTACCTAAAGTGTACATATTAGTACCTAAAAGGTACAAAAGTGTGCCTTTTGAAAAGGTACTGCCCCAGTGACAGCTTTTGTACATTTTTTTCTGAGAGTGTAGCTGTCTCTGGTTTAGGAGAATGTATTAGAGTTTATTTTTATGCTGGTGTGATTGCAAACTACTCAAGCACATGGTAATAAAGATTTAGCTGAAGCTAAGAGTGCCTCCTTGTACTCTTTTTCCACACACACGTAATTTTAGTGTCTGTTTATGTGTGTTTATCTCCGTCTCTCTCAGTGTTTCACATGTGTGTTTTTTGGCATGCTGGAGTTTATGGAGTATGTCTGTATCATCGGTTTCACACAGAGCAGATGTGATTTATAGCAGACTAATCTACTCCACTCGGCACCTCATCATGTTGGCCTTGTGTGTGTGAGACAGTGTGTGTGAATATGTTTCAATTATATCAACATGAGTCACTAAAGAGTTTCTAACAGTTAATTTCATATTTCCTCCTCACTAATACAGCCTTGACCGTGACGATAGGACACACAGTTATTGCTTTTCCACAAATATTCCTATTAAATTCTGATCGTGCTCCTGAAAGCAGATACATTCCACACAAAGACTTTAAGATCCATTGTTCAAGAACAAATCAGAAGAGCAAAACCAAGAGATTGATACAGAGGCATGAAGGTAGAGGTGGAATTCTCGGTGGACAACATGTCCCCTTTGCTTCATTGTAAATAAACAGGAAAGCCTTCAAGGTGTTTGGAAACTATGGCCATACGAGACCATTATGCAATCGTGAGGTCTCCTTATGAGTACTGCAATAATAGAGCTTCAAATACCTTCAGTGGTTTATAAAAGCTACCTGAAATACAAAACAATCATTTTTTTTAGGCCTGGAGGATGTTAAAAGTAAAACGAGAAACCCCAGTCAATATTATTCTTTGCAAATACTATTTGTCATGTTTTTAAATAATAATAAAATCCTCAAAAGTGTGAAATAACAGAGATAGAAGCATGGGAATTAATTATGAAAACAAAAATTACTAAATTATCCTACTTATCCAATTAAATTTGTTCATTCATTAAATTCAAAATGTCTTATTAAGTCAATACATTCTGGTCAGATCATACAAATGTTATATATTTATACAAATATTAAATTATCAACACAAGATTTCTTATTATAGGCATTCTTGTATTACACTTACCATAAAGCAGGGAGACTACCTTGTAAATACAAAAAAGATGTTTAATATGGTTTTACATAGACCTCAACATTTAACACACAAACTTGTCAAAAAAAAATCAATGATAAAGCATAAAATGAAATACAATAATCATATAACAGTAACCACATAATGTATTCATGCTGCAGTGCATTCTGGGATGCCACAACCCTTTAACAAAATTGTTTCACTTTTCCTAGAATGCGCTACTCGAATGTCCCACTTACTACGTAAAATATTATTGCCTTTCTCACAATTTTGACCCCAAAAAATGCTGTTTTTCCTTTACAGTCCAACTCATTAATTTTAAAACACATCAATTTAATCAAATCAGCGAATCAACTTTTATTCTGCTTTATTCATAGTTGAAGCTAAAACTCGCAATTTCTTGATGTCTTTTTCCTCTTTTCAAAGCTATCATTACTTTGTTCTTTTGCAAAAGGGGCATAAAAGTTACGGTTTTCATTCATCACTACAGAAATGTACAAAACTATGACAACATGCACTGAGAACCAGGCACGTGCAGAGGGGGGTGCGATGGGTGCTTGAGCACCTGCCCCTTTTCCCCTTGATGCCCAAAGTGTCCTTTTGTCAAGGCAATTTATATATATTTTTTTGTAATTAAACGCCATTTTGTGAAGGCCTGCCCAATCTAACTATTAGTAAAATGAATGAATAATAATTTAGTTGTAAATAAAATTATCCACATGATGATGACCTTTCACCTGACGATCTCATCAGGGACTATTCCTCACGTTCAGACACCTTTAATGTAGCGCACTACCAGGATGCCTTCATAACGGCCGGTAAGTGCAGTTCTCAGCAGAGCGGTGTGCTTGCATACTTATATTATTAAATTAATATTATTATTATACAAGAACTGCGTGAAGAGAGCATGCACAGCTGTTGTTTATATTGCTGCTTGTAGCAATAATTTCTATAGGCTACTAAATGATATGTCAATCAGTACTGTTTATTTATTACCTGGAGATAACTTGAAAAACACACATAAACCGTATATTTTCGCAATCGTGTGTTTATTGTCTTCACGTTTTTTTCTGCTTTTTATTCAGCTCAGCTACAGCGATAGCCAGCTGCTTTTGTCCATATTAGGCTTTCCTGCACATCATAAGTCATTCATTCTATGAGTCTGTTTTGGACTTTCTGCACGAGAGCACCCTCCGGCTTCGAGTATGAATTAAACATACACTGCATGAGAGTGTTGAGCGCTCCAGATGTTCACTTCTCCTCATTTTGGATACGAATAAAACATCAGGTCATGCATAGACTATCAATATTGTCTCTTTGAATTTAAATCTAGAAACCTCTACGTGAACACACCTGCCCGAATAAAGTGCGAGGGACGAAATTAAATTTATTTAAAATTAAATATTAAAAATGCAGCTAAAGTTCTACACAGCAATATAAACAAAGGTGCCTGTTCTCTTTCATTCTTGCTGTTTGATTGGGAAAAGTTTAAAGGGCGTCGAGTCTTGTCTTTATGTTATCTACGTGTATATGTTTATATGACTAAAAAACTATTACTTTGAACTTTTTTTATTACAGTATTTATTTTAAAAACGTAGAGTGCCTTAAAAATAATTATCACAACCCTGATAAAACAGGCTTATACTGATTTTCTCATCCTCCGATTTATAGGCTACTTATCAATCCTGTTTTTATCATCATTATAATAAAAAAAAAAAATAATTCAGAACAGGATTATAATATAATTCTATTTTAAATAAGACAAATATTTTTTTCTACAACAACAACGGTAGTGTTTACAACAGCAAAACCACCATACCCTGTAAACTCAATAATAATAATAGGCCTAATTTAATTCCGTTTCTATTTTCAGAGTGATTAAGAGGTGCAAAGAAATATTTATTTAACTTTTAAACTTAAAATGGTCTTTTCTGTTCTCTGTTTCTTTTTTAAAACTGCGTCACGGCATTTGCTGCTATCAACACAGAAGCATCCGTTTCGATACATGTCTCAGCAAGGAGCACAGCCCTATTAAAAGCCGTGCTCCATGTGCCCCTTTTATACTTTGAGCACCTGTCCCTCCAAAGGTCTCTGCACGGCCCTGCTGAGAACCTTGGATACATAAAAGCAACAAAGCATCCCACTGAACTACACTTCTGCATGATGATGAGAACAAAACATGCACATGCTTTGCAGCATGCATAGCCAATCAGACCTATTTACAGTTGTGCCATCTGCATATCACACAAAAGCAGAACTTTAATTTCCTGTTCGCTAAACATTTCAGAGCTAAAGGTTCATTTGTGCAAAACATGTTGGCTGCACATATGACTGCTGTTGCATTGTGAGTGTCTGTGCGTGTTTGCTCACATGCTATGACTGCCACATCTGACGACATCAATACAAAGCTGTCCAAACACACCGCAGTGTCACTCTCTAAGAAGTGACAAGGTCAAAGGTCATGATGAAGTTAAACTGTTCTGGTTAGTATTTAGTTGAAGGGACAACAGCAAGGCACATGTAGCTTTCAAAAAACACTGAATATGATTTTATCCAAAGCAACAACTTGGGATCCTACTTCAGAAACCAAGGGGGAAAAAATATTGCCTCTCTGTTTGTAATCCTAATAATCAACAGGCCTATTGTCCAACAGCTTTCTAAAAAAAACTAAATTTTCAAATAATCTGTTTAGCTCAGTAATCCTGCCCTCTGAGCTGACCTCTGACCTTTAGTGGTC